GGGCGGGTTTACCCAGGTCAATGCCCGTTCGGTTTATAAACGGTTCGGGTCATGATCTGACCGGTTTGAAACAGATCGGTTCAGGGGCGGTTTTACCGGGTCAACGTCGGTCCGGGTTCATATCGGTTCGGGTCATGAACGGATTATATTAAATTGGGTCGGTTCAGGGGCGGGTTTACCCGGGTTAATGCTAGTTCGATTCATATCGGTTCGGTTTATACTCGGTTTGGTGCTAAAATCGTTCGGGTTAGTTTGGTAATCGGTTAAATTGGATCGGGTTGAAATCGAGTTCTAAAAAGTGGTTTTGACCAGTTAGCGCGTTTTGTTTTATATCAAGTTGGGACTAGTATTTCCATTTCATTAGCGGGTCGGCATAGGTTGGTGAAAAAAATAATGGATCGAGTAGAAATTGGGTTTTAAGAGATTTTTGACCGGTTAGCTATTTTCGTTTTATATAAAGTTGGGACTTCGTCACTTTATTTTCAGACATCGGATTATATACAATTACACAAATCTTCATTTATTCAATTATTCTATATCATGTTAATATGTTATGTTTCAAGTTTGGTTATACTCTTGTTGTTGTTTATTCGATATTATCATATTAGTCTATTACAAATTTATAATGTATTAATGTATTATTGTTTCATTATTAAATATATATTATTAGGTTATCAGCTTCTTGTTGGATTGTTTTAGATATCGTGTCATGACCATGTTTTGATGAGTTGCTACTTTGAATACGATAAATCGATTCAGATATCAGATTATATAGAATTACAGAAATTCTCATTCATTCTATATCATGTTAATGTGTTATGTTTCAAATTTGGTTATAGTCTTGTTGTTGTTTATTAAATATTAGTCTATTACAAATTTATAAGGTATTAATGTATTATTGTTTCATTATCAAATATTATCAGGCTATCAGCTTCTTGTTTTAAAGATCGCGTCATAACCATGATTTGATGAATTGGTACTTTGAATACGATAAATCGATAATTGATATTGTAATAAACTAATAATTTAATGTTACGGAACTATATTTGGATGTTTAATTAAAATCACGATTATTCAATTTCCCATTAGTCTAATAAAGTAATAATTGACAATTGTTTGTAACTATTCCATAATTTTGGTGTTAAAGTTATATTGCTAAATTACTTTGTTGTCTTACCCTCTCTAATCACCTTTTAAGATTACGTGCCTACAAGGCTGCAACATATATATGTTGCAACTTGCAAGTTAAAGAAAACGGGTGGGGAAGTAGAAGTATTCAATTAGATCGATCATCAACTGTTTTAAGTTTTAATAATCAGATACATTTATCGATTATCTATACATACCAATGATAGTATGATACCAATCGTACCATACATTATTATTTATTACATATACTGATATACATATAACTAATATACATTAAATATGTCATATTGAATCAATTCCAATTTCCAAACATTTGTGTTTCTTACAATTTATAAGTTACATAAAGTTAAGAGTACAGTAGTGTTTTTATTAGTACGTAGCTATGAATAAAAAAAACATATTATCCAAATCCATTATCCCATGATCCGTGTCACCGTCTTATATTAAATATCAGCCATTGATTTGCATGTCATCTAACGACCTATCATCGCACACATTCCAATTCACGATCCGTGTGTTTTCTTTTCCACCAATCAGATCACTCTTGCCATCGTCTCTTTAGTACTCTTTTTGATTTCTCTCTCGTTTTCTTAATCCTCTTCTGTAATATTATCAATTTTTTGAAGCCATGGCTGCTAATATGCTCACTGCTCTCTCGTTTTCTCTCTCATCTCCTCTTCCTTCTTCCTTTCTTCTTCTTCCTTCTTCTCCCTTCTTCCGTCTATGTTCTCCTTTCTTCCATCTCGTTTCTCCGTCTCCGTCCACCGGCACCACGCACGACGGTTTTTATGGTCAAATTCGACCACGAAACTCTAGATATAATTGTTTCATGATCGAATTTGGCCTTTTAAAACCAAATTCGAGGCCAAATTCAGGATTAATATATAAGGTGTTTTCGTTCTTCCTTTTTTTATTTTCTGTTTTTCTTTTTAATTTTTTTTTCAAGTTGTGGGCAACGGAGGGGGCCGAGTTAGGGTGGGTGCGACGGTGGTTAGACTGGGTTCGGGTGGGTGGGGAGGGAGGATTTTTCGAGGGAGGGAGGGAGTTTTATGGTGGGTGAGCAATTAGAGTGAGTTGGGGGGTTTCGAGGATGTTGGGTTTCGTGGGGGTGGGGTTACGGTGGGTTTGGGTTTTTTTTCGATTTTTTTGTATGGGGTGGGGTGGGGTGTGTTACGGTGACGGTGGTGGGTGTGGTTGGGGTTGGGTCGGGTTTTTTTTTTTTTTTTTTTTTTTTTTTTTTTTTTTTTTTTTTTTTTTTTACAGTGACGGTGGTGGGTGGGGTGGGGTGGGGTTTGTTAAGGGGGTGGGGTGGAGTACGTTACGGTGATGGTGGTAGGTGGGGTGGGGTATGGGTCTGGGTTTTTATTATTTACGGTGACGGTGGTGGATGGGGTGGGGTAAGGTTTGGGTCTGGGTTTTTTTATTTATGGTGGGTGGTGGGGTGGGGTAGGGTGGGTTACGGTAATTATGGTGGGTGCGGGGGTGGTGTTAGGGTGGGTCTGGGTTGACGTTGGTGAGGGTGGGTTACGGTAACGGTGGTGGGGTGGGGGTGGGTTACGGTAACGGTGGTGGGTGGGGGGTAGTGTTAGGGTGGGTCTGGGGTGACGGCGGGGGTGGTGTTAGGGTGGGTTACGGTGGTGGGTGGGTGGAGGGTGGTTGGATTGGGTGGGTGGCCAAATTTTTTCATTTTTTTATTTAATTTATAACTCCTAATTTAGTTATACAAGAATATAATTTTAATTTTATAATAGCAAAAAAATTTACAAATTTAAATCAATAATTATATGTAAAAAAAATTGTACTGTTAAATTACATTAAACATCAAATATATTTCGTGGAATTCTAACAAATTGTTAAAGGCTGTAAATAGTTCAATTTGAATGGAACGGGTTGTAAACGGTTCGGTTTAAATAGTTTGTAATCGGATCGGTTTAAACGGGTTGCGGTTTGAAAATAGTTCGGTTTAAACGGTTTAATGGGTTATAACAGTTCGGTTTAAACGGTTAGCGGGTTGTAAATGGTTCGATTTAAACGGTTTTTTTCCTACGGTTTAAACGGTTTCAGTTTATAAATGGTTCGGTTTAATTAGTTAGCGGGTTAACATTAATCGGTTCAAACGGTTTCGGTTTATAAACGGTTTGGTTTGTTATTGGTTTACGGTTCGTAACGGGTTAACATTAATTGGTTCGGTTCGGTTTCGGTTTGACATTATACGGTTCAGTTCGGTTTTCGGTTTAAAATTAGCGGGTTATAAACGGTTCGGTCCGTGATGGTTCGGTTCGGTAACGGACGGTTTTACGGTTCGGTTTGAAAAGTCCCACCCCTAGTTGAAGGTGCTTATTTAATCTGACATGTGAAGAAAGAGAAGAGATATAGAAATCATCCCACACCAAGCGTGTCAAATTTGTTGATACAAATTCAAAATCAACAAATAACAGATTTAAAATAAATGAAATAAAATGTTATTTTTGTTACTATGGTAATATTGGGTACAATCACTAATAGGGATGTTAATGAGGCGAGCCAAGCCCGATTATTGGTAGGCTCGGCTCGAGCTCATGAGTTTGGGTTTGAGGATGGCTCGAGCTTGTGGCTTGTTGAACCTTGAAATTTGAGCTCGGCTCGAGCTCGAGTGCTTAAAAAGAAGAGGTGGGCTCATGGCTCGAGTTCGAAATTAGACTCGTTATAAGCTTGAGTTCGATATCACTCTTGTTATTGGCTTGAGTTCACAATCAAATTATGGAGCAAAGGAGATTTTAGGGTTTCAACTTTGAGCAAGCTTAGGGAGCTTAGAAGTTAGGAGATTATTTGGCTAGGTCAATGGATAACTTACGTTAACTACCCAAGTATAATAGTGTGCTGTTATTGCGCTTTATTAACTTATTAGCTTTACTTATTAGCGTTATTCAAGCCACTTGCGAGCTTTTTGAGCTGAGCTTAGGATGGCTCGTGTATCGTCTCACTTAGTCTTGAGTCGAGCCCGAACAGTTTACGAGCAAACTCGATTCATTAACAACCCTAATCACTTATTTAATCCTCTAATTCAATCTCCAATTTGAATTTGATTTGGCTCACAGACCACTTTTGACTCTTGATTGATGACAAATGAAGCTTGATCTCGCTTGAAGATGATTGATGTAGAGATTAAAAAAATAAATAAAGGGGATGAGTATATGAGTATAGGGATACTGTGTTTGTGTGGGTGGTGTGGTATGGTAGTGATTTATGTGATAATTTGATGGTGGTTTTCAACTTGACTGTGAAAAGGCGGGTTGGTCGTGGAATGGCTATTGGATGGTGGTAGGACAAGGATAGGGGTGGTGGACGAGGTGGTTCAGAAGAAAAGGGGGAAAATTTGAAGTCATGTGCAGCTCACATGATAAATTTGGCCGGAAAATGGTGATCAATGGCGGGAAACCAGTCAAATGTTCTAGTTAAAAAATGTATTTTTGTTTTAAGGTTTCAAAATGCCTTTTTTTCTTCACAAATTGACCAATGTAAAAGGTCCATTCTGACAAATTTTCTTCATGTAAATAAACAAATAAGATTTAATTATACCCACTAAAGTACAACTGGTTGTAGGATTAAAATTATCATGTCTGGGTAATCAAAAACTACGGAGTAATAGTTAACAACTACAACTAATTTTGCTAAACATAACCTATAAATTGACAAAACTATACAACACTTTAATTAAAAAAAAAAAAAAAAATCAAATTAGACCATCTTATCTTCGACGAAAAAAAAACAATTGTGCAATACACCGAAATCACAATTTCAATAATAAATCTTACTTTATTAAGAAGATGATTAATCGTGTCATATAAAGACTACCCACATAAAATAAAATAAACCAAAGTTTAAGCTCATTTCGCAGAAACCGCGCACTTTTGGCAGATCGCACCCATCATTCACTTTTAGGCGGGAGCCATTTTCACAATTTGCCACTTCACATTTTCTCTTTGGCGCCTTACTTTCATTTCCCCAAACTCAAATTTTCGCCATTTCTCCAAATATCTCTTTCTTTTTCCCACTAAATTATTTCCAAAAAATTATTCACTACTTTCTCTGTCTTCCAATTACTATACTTCATAATTTCAGATCTCATTCTCACTTTTATTTTTCTCTCTCCTCCATTTTCATGGATTCTGAGAGTGATTTAGATCAATTGCTACTTCCACAGTCTGAAACTCCTACCCCAACGGATCAGAACCCGAAGATGAAGCGGATAAAAAAGAACGATTCGACTGCGAATGATGTCACTGCCGGTTCCGCCCCGACTAATGAGATTGATGGGTTAGATACAGGGAATGATGAATTCGATGAGTTTGATCCTTTATTTGGTGATTCGAGTCAGTTTTCTGCGAAACGGGTTTTGGATTTTGATGACAGTTTTGATGGGTTTGGGTCTGAGGATGATTATCATGATCCTGATTTTGAGAAGAACAAGAAGAACAAACAGGAGAAGAAGAAAAGGGAAAGTTCGGTTGAGATTCGTGATAGTAAAGAGAAGAAGAGAAGAGTGAGGAGTGATTTAGAGAAGAATAAATCGATTGTTTCGAGTCGAAAAGAGAAGAAAGTAAGAATTTCTGCTATTTTTATTAAATTTTTAGTTTGAGTTAAATTTTCTGAAGTTAAAATGATTGTTTTAGGAGAGGAAAGCTCGTTCAAATCAGCAAGCAGATTTTCAAAGGGTGATGAGAGGTAGTTTTATTAATAGAGATATCGATTTTTGAATATTATTCGCGGTTATTATGCATTTATTTTGGTGTTTATATGTGTATATTGGTTTTATGTAGATATGAAAGATGTGGGATTTAAGCCTATTCCTATGGTTGAGAAATCGATTTCTTCGGTGTTGGAGAAGATCAGAAAAAGGAAGATGGAGGTGTCGAAAAAATGGGCTTCCTATACCGAAGAGGAGGTAGATGGAGGTGTTGACAAAGACGAGCCGAAGGAAGTTGGAGGTATTGAAAAGGATATGGCTAAAGAAGGAGGAGGTGCCGAAAAAGATTTGATTAAGGAAGATGGAGGTGTGGAAAAAGATCAGGTTAAGGATGATGGAGGTGTTGAAAAGGATCAGGAAAACGCGGTTCCCTTGATACCAACAAGTGAAGAAAAACCCGAATCAAGTGATGAGCAAACTACTTGTGGCAATGTAAGTGAATCACATTGTTACATTTTTTGTGGCATTTGATTTAAGTAGTATGTTGTGTCATGGGTTTTATTGTAATGAACAAGCATTAAGATTCTGATTATTGTGAGTGCGGGTTATTAAGAACTATGTGATCTGATGCAGCCTTCTATGGATGAAATCGCAGTCTCATTTCGTGCTCCGATCAATGATACACAGGTTGCCTTGCTGATATATCTTTCATTTTTTCTCACAATAGATAATTAGCTGTTTGAAGTTGTGTTTTTGTTGTTAAACTTATAGTGGTTTACTGTAAATGTGCAATCTGTAGGACTTGTTACTGGATTCTGAAAGGATTAATTCACAAGACAACGAGTTACCCAGCTGCCCTGATAAAGACATAGCTCCATCAGCACCATCAATGAATTTAAGATGGGATTCTGGCCATTCTGCTGCTGTTGATGATGACCTGTAATTACCATTTAACTTGATTTATTTGCTTAGGATTGTTTGGCATGCTTTTGCTTGCTGTTTGTTGATTACCTAGAACTTGATAATCGTATTTGTACATTTTTTTTAGCTCTTCGAGTGATGAAGAAAGTGACAAGGAAAATACTGACCCCCACCCAAAACACCTGCAAAGAAGTTCCACTGCGACTGGTGATCCAGTCAAAGACTTCGTGGATGAAGAAGCATTGGAAGATGATAGCGATGATGATCTTTTGCGCTCTCAAGAGCAAGACGAGGAGGATAATTCAGACATGGAAGACAATTGTGATTATATTGCTACTGATGTTACAGAAAAGCCAATTGATGGTGAAATGCGCAATCAATTGCACCAGCAATGGGATCAGCAACACGACGAAGCTGTGACAGAAAAGCTCTTGCAGAAGCTAAAGTATGGTACAAAGAAGAGGGAGCCATCCATTTCTGATGTCGAGGATGCTGACAGAACAGATGGTGATGAAGAAGAAGAAGAAGAAGAAGAAGAAGAAGAAGAAGAAGAAGAAGAAGAAGAAGAAGAAGAAGAAGAAGAAGAAGAAGAAGAAGAAGAAGAAGAAGAAGAAGAAGAAGATAAGAATGTACCTCACATGTCCAGTTCTCGTGCAACTACAAAAAGGCTAAAGCAAATGATTCCTCTCATGTTTACAGATAAAGATGATGGTTTCGTGTCATCTGATGACGAAGAAACAGAAAGAATGTTGTCTAAGCAGTGCTTGCTTCAGAAAGTGGTATATGACACTACAGCCTAAATATTTATTCTGCTTCTGTTTGATTCTTGCCAGAGTTACTAATTGCTCTCTGTGTAATCTTATAATTACTGGTAATCACTATCAGGAAATGGAAAAGCAGCCCAAAGGTATGCCACCAGTAGCGGATGAGACATCGAAAGAAGTTCTAGGTCGTATAAAGAAAGTTAATGTTCCTCCTAAAACCAAGAAGAAAGCAAAAACACCATGTAAAGTCAGACCTATTTGATTAGCATTGTATGCTTAATTTTACCTTATAGTTTGTCTGCTGTTGTTCTCATTGACTCATTGTCTTTTGTTTTATTGTATTCTAGCAATTTTTGAAGCTCTACTCAATAAAGGGAGCAGCAGTGACTCTTCAAAGGTAATGAATACTCGTATATTATGGTATGATCTGCTGGGTTTGGAAGTAAGCAATCTGACTTCTGAACAACAATGTTCAGAATGTTTGAAAGATGCTTTTCCTGCTGATTTTTTATACCCAATTTACGTAACTGATCATTCTTTGATACTTTGCTTTTGGAAATGTAGTCTTCCTTTTTGCGACGAGCATCCAGCCATCCTGGGCCTTCAAATCATAGGCATGGACCAAAAACTGGAAAATCATTTATTTTTGGACGAGATGACAGCAATAGCCGGAGCTCAATGACTTCGCTGGAAGACTCACTCAATATGGTAAGCTTAATTCACAAGTCATTTTAACTTTAGAAGGAAGCATCTATTCTCAAATTTCAAATATCTGCAGTTTTTATCCACACTACAGCATATAAGATCCCTACTTACAAGTTATAATGCTAGTTAGAATAGACAAAATGAATTCTGAATTGATACTCCCCATATCTAAAATCTGGTATGTATGTTCATGTGAATCTTCAATTCACCTTGACCTATAATGGATCCTTTATATTAGAATCAAAATATGGCAATGTCTACAAGCATATGTACATACTATGTATACGTATCATATCTTGCATTACTCAAGCTTGGGTATTCAAGTACACTTGGGTTTGCATAGCAATCGTAGCATATTGATTGTCTTGTAAAGTTGTAAGTTTATCTTGATCTAAACATGTACACTTCATATCCAGGGCCAAAAAGAAAATCAGCCGAAGAAGAATACCTCAGCTAAATTTACTGGCTCTCAGGCCAAATTGAGTACCCAACACACAGAGATCAGAAGTGAAACAGCTAATGGCAGCTCATTATATGACATACTCAGAAGCTCTTCTGCGGAAACAAGCTATGATACTCGTGATAACGCAGTTGATCATGAAGCTGTATTTGCTGCATTCAAATCAGTGAAGAAACAAGTAAAGATTGAAAGAACTTATCAAGGACCTTAAAAATGTGTCTAGTTATAGTTTTTGTAGGTCTTCGAAATGTAGTGTTTACTGTTAGTCTGGTAAATTATGTGCATTATTATATGTTAAGGTGTTCAGCCTTTTTGACACCGGCCTTCTTATTCCAACAAATCAAGAGGTAAATGTCTCTGGCATTAAGCTGCAGATGTTCTAACGAAGTTAACATACAATTTACTAGCACCTTATGCAATAGGCTAAAAATAGAGCATGCGACGAGTTTCAATGACCACCAATTATGAAATAAAGATTGAAAATAAAAAGCTAAGGATTCAACGAAATGAGCAATGATCCAACGCGTTACACTGAAATGTAAGACAATCTTGCAGAGCTTGTAACCTTTTTTCTAAGGCCCATAATATACTGATGGAAACATTAGAATTTACTTGTAACATAACGCTAGATAGGTTATTATAGAGATATCAAGCCATAAATATTTCATAGGCTAGTCCAAAGATTTACTACATTGTGAGTTTGATTTTGACTCTTTTAAACTTTTTAAGTTATTTGATGGTCAGAGCCAACCCCTTTCAACATTCACAATTTATTTTTTAAAGTTTAGTATTGAGTTTAATTAACTTGTTAAACTTCAACTTAATCCTTTTGGATACATGTAATCATCATCATCATCCTACACAATGTGGAGAAGATGAGAGCTTTGTGTCAAAAGGCTTAATGGTGTGAAATGAAGACATTATTTTTTTGATTGAAGATTACTTGAGTTTTTTCCATAACAATAGTGCTCATCAATGAAACTCTTAAATCCTTAGTTAGAGTAAAGATCCGAAAAATAGAGACTAGAAATGGATCACAAGCTGCGAACTGTAAGTCGTACATGAATTGACAGTAGCGCTTGTTTGGCATCAAATATTACACATTTCAATAAGGCTGATGCTTCTCCCTTCTTATTGGATGGTGGAGAACTCTGCAACTATGATGTACAATACGGAGTACAATTATTTACAATTTATATTTGTAGTATGTATGTACCATCTGTGTGTATTTCAAACAGCAACTTGAGCAGCAGCTAGTCTTGCAATGGGAACTCTGTCAACAAAATAAAAACCATATTCATAGGACTGCTCAAAAAAAAAAAAAAAAAAAAAAAAAAAAAAAAAGCTTAGGCAAGAATGTATAAACACAAGAATCAGAAGCATAGTAAACCTGAATGGCGAGCATGAAACATAATCAAGTCCAGCCTCGGCGAAAAATGCAACAGATGAAGGCTCTCCCCCATGTTCTCCACATATACCCACCTGTGTATTTAAAACATATTTTTAGTGTTATTTAGTAGATAGAAAAGTACAAATGGTAGGTTGGTCCTGGTATGAGTTATCACAGATTTGCATGATAAAGAAAGTAGGGCTAGTCACAAGCAGAGCTGAATTCTAACTTGGCTCAACCTAGCAAAAAACATAGCTCAGCTCAAATTAGCTTAATTTCAACAAGTTCAAACTCAGGCACAACTCATCTAGAACTTGCTAGGATGGATTGAGTTTGGATCAAATGAAATTTTGAGTTCAAGTTTGGCTCAATGTGCTCAACTCCATGCCGGTGTTTAACTTGGGAAAGCTGTGCTAAGAATTTTCTTATCGTTGTATACACAAGTTTAGGCCTCAGGATAAATGATGTAGTGATATGTCAGCTCATTTACAAAATATGGGAATATGAGCCAAGCTTTAGGACCAACCAGATCTGAAATGCGCCACGAATTGCTCTTCTTCTTTTTATTTTTTTTTTATTTTTTTGGTGATCACCCTTTAATGCTATATTAGAGATGAATACCATCACATCACGGGATACATGATCACTCTAGGATTAAGAACACTGACTTGATTGTATATATATATCGAGACGAATTCAACAAGGTCTAACTTGTCTATATGTTTTCTTACATATAAATTACCAACATTGGTCATAGTGGACTATGTGCATAGTGCTAATGGAAAAGTGTTTAGGTTAAAAAAAATAAAATTGGAGTTAGTAAATTTTTTGAATTAGCACCCTACCAAAAAATGACTACAGATTGAGTTGGAACAAACCTTTAATTTTAAACTACTTTTAGCATGGATTGATAATTAAGGCATATTGATCTCCATGTTGTAATTTACCTTCAAGCTAGGCCGAGCAGCACGGCCTTTCTCGGTTGCAAATTTGATGAGTTGGCCCACACCTTTTTGGTCGAGAACCTAAATTCAAATTGAGCAGCATCGTGTAAAGACTAGTTAATTTAGTGGGATGTGAGTATTGAGTAAGACTGACTTACCACAAAGGGGTCAGTTTGCAGTATGCCTTTTGACAAGTATACAGGAAGGAACTTCCCAACATCATCTCTGCTATACCCGAATGTCATCTGTGTGAGATCATTTGTTCCAAAAGAGAAGAATTCTGCTTCCTTTGCAATCTACAATAGAAAAATATTATAATTCAATATTTTAGGTAGGTGTAATAGCTCAAATATGCACAAAAATAAAACAATTCTGATGAACTGTAACTATACTGTACAGATGGTTATCTATAAACCTAACTTTAGTAGTAATTTTCACTCTGCTAGAGCTGGATGTTGGAAAACCACCTGAGTACATACTAAAGCTATTATATGAATCCTTAAGAGGAAGAAAGTAATTTTATTGTACCTCGTCTGCAATTAGAGCTGCCCTTGGGATCTCAATCATTGTTCCCACCTTGTATTTTAAGGAAGAACCCATCTCAGAAAATACCTTTGTCGCCACTTCTCGTATTAAACTCACTTGATGCCCTAACTCCTGTCACTCAGACATGCAATAGTTTAGGGAACATAACACAAACAAAAAGCCTACTAATCAAAGATCAAGGGGATCAAATTAGATATTTAAAATCAAGTCAAAAAAGTAATACAATATCCCCAACAATTGTTATGCCTACTGATCCTGCTATTCAGGAAATAAATCCAGTGTTCTAACAAGGGTAACAAGTTCCAAAGAGAAGAGGAAAATAAATGTTGGCAAAAAGAAAAGGGTCCGTGCCTGTGGTGTTCCGACAAGAGGAACCATAATCTCAGGAAGAACTACAATACCCTGGTTGCTCATTGAAACTGCAGCTTGGAATATTGCACGTGCTTGCATTTCAGTAAGTTCAGGGTATGATATTCCCAACCTGTACGGACACAATCAAGTTCCATCAGTACAAGTACTAAAAAAAAAAATTTGAAAAATCTAATGACCTTATGGTCATTGTCATTGTGCACATGAAATGTTTAGATATATTGTTCATGTGCTTAATTATTATGTATCCATTTAAAAAGTAGAATATCCATTATTCTTTGACATCAGTATTACAAGGGATTTAAAGTACATTGGCTTCTTAAATAGTTAAATTTATTTCATTTCTTAATTTTAGTATAGTATTAGATGTTAGTTCTGTAAGGATTTATAGGAATTAGTCTCTTTGTAAGATTGCGTACATCTGCCCCCCCCCCCCCCACTCCCCCTCCCATCTATTTGAGTATTCAGTTGATCGTGTTTGCTTGATATTATAACAAATGTCTTTCAAATAAAGACAACATTCCAGATGGTATGGTGATGCCCTTATAAAGATAAAGAAAAAGAAAAAAGAAAAAAAAAAAAACTCTTAATTGACAGGTTATAAATAGATATATGTGAACACCTTATCCATTACCTGCAGCCCCTAAAACCCAACATGGGATTGACTTCTGATAACTTTTCTATTCTAGAGAAGACTTCATCTTCTGCCATCCCAGTTTCCGATGCCAGTTCATTCACAATTTGTTCCAAGTCACCTTCTGGAAGAAATTCATGAAGTGGAGGATCTAGCAATCTTATTGTAACTGGAAGCCCTGAAATTAACAAAATAATAATAACAATAAAGCACCTATTTACAAGGTAACTTAACCAAAATAAACATCAATATATAAAATTTTCTTGCCATCCATGGCTCGAAAAATCCCCTCAAAGTCCGATCTCTGATAAGGTAATAGCTGATCCAGAGCTACTTTCCTCTGCTCAGGTGTTATTGCCATTATCATCTTCCTCACTGTCTTTATCCTGTCATCTGAAGCAAAGAACTAAGACAATGCATACATTAATTATGTTTCCTTGAGTTATCTGGCACATTATGATATAAATTTTTAACAAAGAAGAATCTCAGGACTTAATGACTTGTAAGAACCAGACAAGAACAAAGGCATATGAAGAATTTTTCATCACCTACTGAAATTTCTCCCCTTCTTAATATTATTAAAATCTCTTCTTACTTGAATAGGAAAGACAACACACGATTTAGCAATTATTGAAATAAAATTAAAGGCAACTCCTGCATGACTCCTGTCAAAGTGGAGTCTAACAAGATTTGAAATATTTGCAATCATATTTCCACTATGAAACTACAAGTATATACAAAATTTAGCATCAAGGGCATGATAATGTTATTTCAAAATTTAAATAGCCCTTATTTGTGATAATTACTGATAAATATAAAAGAAACACCAACAAATCATCTCATAACAATAGATTACTAAGAGAAAAAGTGTAAACTACCATGTGCTCAGTCCTACAAAGTCCAATTCCTTCAGCACCATTGTTTCTTGCTGCTAATGCATCTTCTGGGGTATCTGCATTTGCCATGACCTGTACATATACTAACAGTGAATGTGAAATATAATAATTTGCGATGTTCTCCATGATTTTAGACTTGCTATAGCCAATGTCAAAGAAACAGTCTATAACGAAAGCTACATAGACAAAATACATATGTCAATCACGGTTGTTTAGGGAACATGGAGGCACGAACACTAGTTACTGTTGCTTAATGCATGCTTGGATGTATCACTCACACAATTAATATCCGCACATAACTCCAAGATAATTCTGACCAGATTTTGGGATGGCTAAGTTTGATGAGGAAAATGCAATGCATGGAATTGAGAAACAGCATGTCGAAACTGTATAACCTTAAGGCGCCGTATGTTATCAGCCCATGACATGAAGATTTCCAGATCCCCACTGAGAGCAGGAGGTGAAAGTGGTTCTTTCCCTAAGATCACTTCGCCAGTTGATCCATTAAGAGAAAGCCACTCACCTTCAGATATTACT